GCTCATTGTGAAGTGTCATCAGTACTTCGTGGAACACAAGGCGATGAACCTCCCTGGTAAGCACCCCCGCATTCGAGACAGTGTCTCCAAGTGCCTCGGGTTTCACCTCTTCGCATTGGGTATCGGCGCATGACAAGGTCTGTTCGTTTGAGGATTCGTACATGGAGGCTGCTGAAGACGAGCTTCTGGCCCTTGAGGTGGAACCATCAGAAGATGGTGATGGAAACCTGCTTGATGTCTCCTCTGAAAGTGAATAGGTTTTATATATTGTGTTATCGGTTTAACTGCGAAAATTGTATTCGTTTTTTCGATCTTCAACCTCTCCAACCAATTAAAAGTCGTAGAATGTATCCCTTACCCTATTTGAGATGATTTTTCGTCATAGTCTTTTTCTGACTCAAATTTGAAAGGCACCTCAACCGGATAATTTAGTGCGTTCACAGAAGCACTTTTCAAACGAGATTTGTAGTTTTTTTATATTCTTTTTATGCGAAAATTGAGTCTCAAATGGCTGAGATAATCAATGGAGAGTGATGCCCGATCCCAATTGGGCCCTACAATACACGGAACGTTGGAGTTGTTTTCGAAGTCGGTGGGCCCGATCGAAGGCGGCCGGCCGCCAGTGGAGTGCGGCAACGGAGCGTGAATTGAATGTGCGATGGGATGCGTTGCGTCTGCCTCCGTCGTCTTCGGTTCGGCGCGACTGTGCCCGCGCCCGCACCGTTCGAAAGGAAGACGCTGACGCAGGTCACACGTTCGACTTGGACATGATATTTTTTTCCGTGAAGAGAGCGGCGAGCGCATCACGCGCGACCACACGATGCGCCCAGCGTTGAACGACGCAACCATCTACAGACCGATCACGCGCGGCGCAAACCTCGGCACGGTCAAAGTGCTCAGAGAGGGCTTACAGAGCCAACAAAGCACCAGTGTTTTCCCCATCGCGTTCCGACACAACTGTCTCGCATATGGAGCTCAAAGCGCGCAAGCAAGCCGAAGAATCAACGAATTCTGACCCCGAAACAAAGGCGCACTGCCGAGCGTGTCTATGTCTACAAGCACGTTGTGGATGCAACAGGGGTGAAAATCCTCGATGACTGTAAACTCTCGCACGTTGGCGAAGATGTCGAACCGCGACAGGGCTCGCTCGAGCCAGGACGTGGCGAACGGAATGATGGCAGCGCGGCGTTGTTGCTCAGCGGAAACGACCAGGTGTATCATCCTGAACCAGTTGCAGCCCCGATGTCCCCAGAGAGGGTGGAACCCGATGGAACTCCCGACACGCGCTTTGCATCGATTTGCATTGCTACGCCGGCCTCAAGCAGCAACGACCGACCCCATGCTGCGGATCGGTCCTCCACCACAAGGAGTAGCCAATCTAGCCCAGTTCGAGCCGACGTGGCGCCGGACGATATCCCGTGGAACCGCCTCTCCCCACGAAGCACAGGAGCCCCGGCAGGACCAGTGCACGCCGTTGGAATGCCTGACATGAGGTACTCGGTCAACCAGTGCTTCTACCTCTCTGCCCATCCATCTTGGCCGGGACAAACTCGCCCTTCTCGCACGAGCAATGTGCCTGGCACATCGTCCAATCGACCATATGCCACGACGTCGAGCACTGCCGCCAGCAGTCCATGTCGAGCCAACGGTATGCCCGACATGCCACGAACGGCTCAACCCCAAGCTGTAAGGCGAGCAGTTTGTCGGCGGCTTCGTCGAGTTGTGGACTTTGCAAAGCGGATGGCACTCGTGGCATGAGATATGCCTGCAATCGCAAGCGCTAGCCGCCCAGGCCACGACCTTTTTCTTGAGAGCCAACATGTACCAACAAGTGCGCTCGTTGTGGCATGGAGCTTTCACGATTTTGAGAAAGGGGACAACGCACCTTGGCAGCATGTACACTGCCATCGCAGGCGGTGCGTGTGTGTTTTTGCGTCGCGTAGGCCGACGTCGACTGGGCAAACATGGCGTGGATGGAAGAGAACTGGAAGCCACGAATGTGCGATGCTGCACGTTGCAACCGCCGCCGCCATGGGCCATCGCGGCGATACGTAGCACTGCCTCGTTGTGCTCCATTCTCGACGAGTTTGACCTGTGCAGCGCACGTCGTCGCTTCGATTCCCATGCACGATCTCGATAAACGCGCCGCTGGGAAGCATTCCAGCACGCAGCATGGCCGGTGTCGCCAACTTCGACATGCCGGCTGCCCCTGTCGCCGGTCGACTCTCTGTCGAACCCACCACGTGTAGGATGGAGGAGCGCAGCCGATCGTGCCCACCGATTGAATCTAACATGCACGCCCTGATCTTCTGTGGCTGTTTGGGGCGCGCCCAACGGTCGACGTGCTCGTATGTACTCGACTGTCATGGTCGCGATCTGGTTTGCCCGAGTGGTTGGCAGCAAAAATCGTTTGTCGCGATGCCGTCGCTGAACGCATCACGACGATCACAACAATCGCCGAACGCATGTCTTTGTCGCGATCGTTGATTTCGGACGACGTTGGGGCCGCCGACGCCGTGCTCGTTTGTCACACGGGCCACCCTGCCGCCGACTCGTTGGCATCCCGATGGGTTGTAGTAGCCCCAACTGCGTCGTACCATCGGCTGGTCGAAGCGCGCCAGACAAGATGCCAGATTCGCATTCTCGCCAGCTGGACACGTTGTCCATGCAGGGGAGGGGGGGAGCGTAAGAGTCAAGGGGCGGCATGCACTCGGTTCAGATCAGATTCGCGTCAGTGTGGGCCACGGCACGCCGCGGAACAACTGGATTTGTCGCATGCCCATTTGACGGCGGCGTGTCTGCGGGAAGTGCGCCTGCAGTGGGTTATGGATGATCCGCCGGCGGGAGCTCTCGTTTCTCTCGAGACGGCCACGCACCCAACGAGCCGGTGTTTACATGATGGCGATCGTGGCGGCGGCCGATTCCACGGCGCGGATTCACGCGCGTTCGCACGACCGTCGAACGAGACGTCCCGGCGCTTCCTTCAAAGCAGCCGTCGACGCGCGCGCGCGCGCCAATGGCGGCGTTGTCGTCCGGGGCGTGGGAATTTCACACCGTTCAAATGTCCATCGAACATGCGTTGTCGTGTGCTCGCACTGGAACGAAGCACTGGCAACCTGATAAAACGTCCGGCTTGACGCACGCGTTTTACTTGAAAAAGGCCGTTTAAACACCCAATGTCCGGGTCAACCCATTGACGTTATATGGGGCGTGCGAATAAAACGCAATCTGGTCTCGACATTGCGTCCAGCGTGAGGGCCGCACGACCGCTGGCGTCCAAGTTGAGCCACGACCGGCTCAACTGGCTTTGACCCGCCGCTGGTTCACTTTCCCATCGTCCGTGTGCATTCGACGATGGCGTCGCTGCCCCCGCAAGATGAAGAGCGGTTCAAGGACATTGCAAAGCAAGCCACGGCCGACCTCATTCGCAATGCGTTGCGCCTGCCGCAGCTCAAACTGTTGTCCCGCATCCAGCACAAAACGACCGCCCGCCAGGCGCTGGTACGGTCTTGAGTCCCATGGGAGCGACGTTGTCATGGGACATTCATGCAGGTTTACGGTGGCCAAGACATTGTAAACCCGGCGTTGCCCCTCGTAGGCGCCCATACCTTTATTCGATCGACATTATCCGACGTCGCCGACTTGTTTCAGCTCGACACGCCCGCGAAACAGGATGCATTCCACGCGACCGTAGGCTCCCGCATTGCATCCAAGCGAAAGCTCTTTTCCCTGTCGCAGCCGCACGCGACGAACCATGCCCAGTGCGACATTTCGTGGTTTGCGTACAACTCGCCCGTCCCCGGCATGTCGAAGCGAGACTTTTGCGTGCTCGAATCCCACAACGAGATTGAAATCGTCGACCACTCCAACATCGCTCGTCGTGGATGGGTGCGGTGCATCCACTCGATCGACGACATTGCAACGTATCCCTCCGTGCCCAACATGGTGCGGGCGTCCATCGCCCGAGTACGTCACTTTTCGAACTGGATCAAGGGCTGGCCTTCATGCAACGTTTCTAGTCCGGCCTCGTTTGCATCGAAACCGACACACCCGGGCTCTTGGACGTGTACTACGTGCTCGTGCCGGTGCTCACAGGTGCCGGGTGGAATATCGCGACGAAGCGAATGGCAAAACGCCAAGTTGAAAAGGTGTGTGTTTATCATCCGCCGCGCCCGTCGAAGGACGGGCGTTTCTGTATGTGTACTACCATTTTTTTTGCTGTTGACGATGGAGTGGACGCGTTGCTGGCGCGACGGGATGATGCAGTAAATTCGCCGCCAGGCCGACCCTCCACGTGCGACCAAGCATTCTTGGCAATGGGGAAAACATGGGCACGATTTGTGATTTGTTTGATCGTCTGTGGCATGTTGTCTTGATTTCCCATTTTGTGTAGATATTGCGCCTTGAGCAGTTTCTGGCGTACCAGCATTTGGACATGGACTGCGTTCGAGTGATCTCGCCGTCGTCTAAACGCCAGAACGCAAAACTGTGCACCCGCTGCTCGAAAACCTTGCACTTGTTTCGACCAAAGCGCCAGTGCCACCGGTGTTTCGAAGTACGTTGGATTTGTTTGTGCCAGAACAAACGGCATCGTTCGTGATTAGGCCATGTGTCCCACATGCGGTTGCGAGTGGCCGCTTCGAGGAAAAAAATTGTTTGTGTGCCATGATTGCTTCCATCCTGGCATGCATGACCCGTCGTCAGGTGACTGATCCAACTACTACGTACGTTGGCATGGTTGAACGTTGTGATGATGAATAGATACCCTCCGCGGGCGGCAAATGACAATTTCAATTACCAAAGCCAAGGTGGAAGGCCTCTTGGAAGCAGTGGCAACCCCCGATATCCTTCGCGACGAACTCGAGCATGACGTCGAATCAGAGCGCTACACAAGCGACACGAGTGGAGCCGACTTGGACGACGAAGTGAACATTGTCGAAGATACCAAGTTGCTCCAGTTGCTGTGCGACCAGGATGCGCTGTATCGGCTTTGCCAGCAGTACAAATTGGACTGCTGAGCAGACGAGACCCCATGAAGAGGACTTTTTCCATCGGAAGACCGAGTCCTCCTGTACCAAATGAATCAATATCATGCCACTCTTTATTCAAGCGATCCCATGCACGGGTGTCATGCAAGATGAAGTTTGCCCAAAACATTCGCCGCTCGCAGCACTGTTTCGCCACACTTGTTCCAGAGGGAGGAGGCGAAGACGGTTGTGCTTGTGAAGGCTACAGTCGTGATGGAATTTCGAGGAGCCACTGCCTTGTTTCGGCACATGTTGAAAGGGACAGATGCGGAGACGGACCTTTTTAAGAAACGCAAGGCCCTCATGGCCAATGCCTCGTTCCTGGCTGTTTTACTCACCGATTACTGTTTGGCTTTCAACGAAGAGCAGCAACGACTATGTTATGTTGAATATTGCGCGAGCTGGGAACCTTGCCGATCTCTAAAAGAACGAGGTCCGACCAGCCCACGTCAACCTCAGAGCCAGGTCTGGCTTTCATACGATGTAGATCCACGGCGAGCATGGCGCTTCGAGGCGTCGATCCGCCTTCCTCAGGGAAGCATGACGAAATGGACGATTGGATGATGGCCAGTTTTCGTCGCTGCAAACTCTACTAATGTTGTTGTTGAGGGTCCATCCAACCAAAGGAGGTGTTTGATTCCGTTCCTGCGACCCTTTCCACAACTAACACGATGTGCATTCGATCTATCTCAAATCGAATGGCAACTTTGACGAGTCGGCATATAATGCACACCATAGTTTGTTGCCAGGATGGTGGCGCCATGCACCAAAACATTCAAAAATGTTTCGAGTGCCTCAGCTGAGAATCGACGTGGGGTGCGTCCGGCCTACGTTCCAAGGGCTCTTTCTGCTCTTTACATGACCTCTCGCTCACATTTGGTTCGTCGCTTCCATGTTGGCCCCGCATTGCGCAAGCACTTTGACACACTGGAGAAACTAGTTTTTACGGACTTGTGAATCGCGCGTTGCGAACCTGCTGGATCGTTTGGTTGGACAATATCTTGGCTCAATGCAAGGACACGCGCGTTGTCTATCGCACGGATGTGCGCTGTGTGCCCTTCAGGCATGTCGTTCGATAAATGGCTTCGTTTCCACCGGACGTCTGCTTGTTGCGGCGAGGTACTCAATGCAATGTCGACGCTGTCGTTGGAATCGCTTGGTGCAGTCGTCCCTACGCTCCCATCGCAACCAACCAAGCCAATTGCCACCAAAACACTTGCGTGCCATGGCCATCCGCCTTGGTTTCGATCAAGTCGACATGCCCACGTGACCTCCGACAAGCCTCCGCAGTGTCCCCAGTGGCATCTTCACAACAACGTGGTATAGTCAAACCTGTATTCTGATTGGACCAATGAAAACATACGAATATTGTCCATTTAAATGAATGAATTTCCATCTAAATAACACTGCCGGACAATTCAAGTTGACATGGAGATACTTTTTTTCCTCAAGACCAGGACTGCACAATCAAGCGAATGCTGGCGATCGCATCGTACCATGGAAAGTACCTCGGTTTTACATTCAAATATGCCCATTGGCGTCGACTTCTCGACGGGTATGCTGAGATCCTGCGTGAATATTTTCAGATCGCCACGAAATTCGGATCGCGTTGGATTGGCTGAATACATTTCCAAGAATTCCGCGATTGCAGGGAAGCGATTTTTTGATTGGCTGTTGTTGGTTATATTCAATCGACGACGCAATTCCGGCACAACATGAGGGCACTCACAACTCGTTCACGTCGTCGAGTTTGGTATAGTTACACTCGGAGCAGTAACCATGGAGTACTGCGTGGCACAGGGCGGCCGCCATGCGCAAGAAATAGCGACTGCTCGTCCACGTAAGGTGCACATGTTTTTTGTGACCTTCAATTTGTTGGCATGGACATGGGCGATATCCGGATGTAGAATATATCCGGTACAATGGCGGCGGTCAAACACATTGGTGTTGGCGGGTCGTCGTCGCATGTGGCGCACGGTCGGGGCGATTCGTACGGGCGGCCCACGTCGGGTGCCGTCGTCAACTCCTTGTAGTCGGCGTTGTTTCAGCGAGGTTTCGTCGGGAATTGTAGGCCACGAGCATCTCCTCGTGGGGCTGACTGAAGCGGATGAAATGCTTCCCGTCACGATGGTGCAGGACAGACAAAGCGCCAAGCGTGTGTTGGAGGTGTTGAAGTCCCTCGGCCCAAAGCACATTCATGCGTGTGACACGGAAGTTGCAAACATCGACGTGAAGAAGGTCGGGCCAGTCGGAAACGGCAACGTAACTTGTCTCTCCATATTCAGCGGACCAGACGTTGACTTTGGCAACGGACCGTACGTGTGGGTCGACAACCTCGACAGTGCTGAAGGTAATCCTGCCTCATCTTGCGCATTGCATCGTCAGGAGCGGAATAGGAACCATCGAGTATTTTCGAGAGTTTCTTGAGAGCAAAACCCACAAGAAAGTGTGGCACAATTACAGCTTTGATCGCCACGTGCTGTATAATCCGTCAACACGCATCAACGTACAGGGACTTGGCGGCGACACAATGCACATGGCGCGACTTTGGAACACAGCGCGCTTTCAGAAAGGTGGTTATTCGTTGGAAGCGCTGTCGGCCGACCTCATGGAACGTCGCAAGAAACCCATGAAGGAGCTTTTTGGTGTGCCCAAGCTGAAGAAGGTTCACAAGTTGAAATGCCTGACGTCACTTGTTTGAAGTGATGGTCCCGTTGAGTAGGATGGCACTCCAGGAAAGGAGCGTCTGGTGCCTCTTGTTGAAGAGCTGCAACGCTTTCCAGAGTTTCGTGAGCGGTGGATTCGCTACAGCGTGTACGATGCCGAATGCACGTGGTTTTTGCACAAGGCACACTACTTTTTAGCGATGGAACAAGTATTTGACACGTTTTTGCAGGTGCTGCAACACAAATTGGAAGACACAACATGGCATTTTCAGACGTTGGCCGATGGAACTATCTCGCGGCATTCCATGTAAGTTGATTCCGTGCTGTATCATGTGCACTACGCGTACATTTTTTTTGGATTTCGTGTCCGCTGCATTGCAGCGAATATGTGCATGTGATTGAAATCATAATATGATTTGTCGAATCATGGATTTTGCTCCACACATCAAATATTAAATTATGCTCGTTTTTGATACGTTTTACACGCTTGACCGTCATGGTAAACGAGATACCACGAAAAATCATCGTGAACTTGCCTAGGTATGATTTTTACGTGGAGTACTTGGTCCCATTTGGTGAATGCCTGACGGACTTGGAGCGAAAAGGCATGCATGTGGACCTGGCGAATCTTGCCAAAGTCGAGCAACAAGCCTTGGCGGATCGTGCCAAGCTTGAGGAAGAAGTGCGGGAATGGGTATCTCGGTATGTTACATGTACAAGTTGCCTTGTACACAACGACGTTTGGAAAATTCGCATTGACGTCCAAAATGAATCCTTGTCACAACGATAACACCTTGCGGTTGTTAGGTACGTGCCTGAAGCCAAACGAATGAACTTGGCCAGCGCGACGCAAAAACAACAACTTCTCTTCGCGCCGTACTCAAATCCGCAGAAGAAGATCGACTTGCCTGTGGAGCGCATGTTTGATGTGGAGAATATCGAACAAATCATTGAAAACCCTGAAAAGCAGACCAAGCCGAAGAAAAACCGATCCATTACCATCCGAGGATTGGGAATTCCACCAGTGCAGTTTACAGCGTCTGGAAATCCTGCTGCCACCGCCGAAGCTCTCAAAGAACTCGCTGGCAAAGTATGCTTCCATTTTGCACTTCGTGTATTCACATTTCAAACTTCATCGTAGCCCTTGGCAGATCCCCCGCAGTACGGACGAGCATTTGAACACTTTGACGACCCCGAAGAAGGTGCGGCGACCTGCCTCGCTCTCAAGAAAATGTACGATATGAGCTCCATCGATACTATGCTCAACAATTTTATCCTCCCGTTGCAAGGTAAGCTGTAGCATGTGGTCAAACGAGTTTGATGGAATCTCATCTGCATAACCATTGTGGAAATTGTTGTGAATATTGATTCCAGTTCGCCAAAACGTTGATGCTGCATTTTGCCTATATTACTGTAAGCATGCGAAATATGTAATTTTGTCGATGCTATCATCGTAGAATTGGCTGACGCCGATGGTCGGGTACACGGGTCATTAAACTTAAACACGGACACTGGTCGATTAAGCTCACGCAAGCCAAACCTTCAGAACCAGGTACGGTTAGACGATTTTAAATTCTAACCACCAATTGGTTTGCTCATTCAGTAGTTATGTCTTTTTGTGTAGCCTGCGATGGACAAAGATCGGTACAAAATTCGCGATGCCTTCACTGCCGCCGAAGGCAAGCTCCTCGTGGTAGCCGATTACAGTCAATTGGAGCTTCGACTCTTGGCACACGTCACTCAATGTAAAGGCATGATCGAGGCATTTAAAGTATGTACCAGCTTTTCACGACTAAATGTTGTTCATTGCGCCTTGTTCCATTGGAATTGAAGGTTGTGAGCGGAACCATCCATTGAGATATGTTTTCACGTCGTCGTTCGACTGAGTTGAAGGATTCATTTTATTGAAACATTTCGACGTAGGCAGGAGGCGATTTTCACTCAAGAACGGCAATGGGCATGTATGATTATGTGCAAAAAGCAGTAGAGGCTGGTGATGTTTTGCTGGAATGGGATTCAAGCAAGGGTAAACCCCCGGTGCCGCTTCTTAAAGATGCCTTTGCGAAAGAACGGAAACATGCCAAAATTCTCAATTTCTCCATTGCGTATGGGAAAACTCCTTTTGGATTGGCCAAGGTACTGCCCCATCCCTTCAACACAGACATTGCGTCAGGTCGAAATGACGTTTTGACTGCGCACTCTTTTCAATACGATTTTGACGTTATATTCTTGGAAACTTTAGATGCAATGTATTGTTAACTAATACTGAAACACTTGTAGGACTTCAATGTAAGTCGAAAAGAAGCTGCGGATACACTGGAGCGGTGGTATGCCGATCGACCAGAAGTCAAGGCGTGGCAACAGCAAGCGATCAAAACCGCCAACTTGTTCGGGTACGTTGGCGCTTCAGTGTTGCGATTTCCACTTGTTTGTATGGAAGGCATTGTTTCGGATGTGGTAGTTTTGCTTCACACACACATTGCAAGCCTTGTCGTGCGAATCTGCAACGGGGGGGAGGGCAGATTCATCGTTTCTGAATTAACCGTGAAGGGTTGTTGCACAAATTGGATTGTCGCATCTGGAATGGGCGACAACAGCCCTGCTTGTGAATTGAAAACGTTTCCTTTGAATCGATGCGGGATTTTTGTATCGCATTTGGAATGAAACAATCTTGTTCTTTATACCCACGGAAATATTTTGGATGCACCACATGCAGCGTCTTGGCACCATGATACGCGTCAAGGAATGGATCGTCGTTAACAGAGTGGCAGATACACACGTACTCTGATGGGGCGCTACCGCATGCTACCCGACGCCACAACCAAATCCAAATCCTTCAGTCATCAAAAAGCAAAGTCGCACGCGGAGCGCGCGGCGATCAACACCCCCATCCAGGTATGCGCCGAGTCCACGACTATGTACAGACGATTTCGTTAACGTCAGGGAGCTGCGGCGGACGTGGTGATGCGTGCAATGCTCAACATTCACCGGAACGAACAGTTGCGAGCGATGGGTTGGGAAATGGTGTGCCAAATTCACGATGAAATCATCATGGAAGGACCGGCGGAATGTGCCAAGGAGGCATGCACACTCATGGTGGACTTGATGGAAAATCCATTTGAGTCGCCACTCAGTGTCCGACTCGAAGTTGAAGCAAAGATTGATTCGTCGTGGTATAAAGCCAAGTAAAAATGACATGACGAGTACGAGGGACTGGAGTTATTCGCGCTGAGTAAATGCCAGCAGCGCCATAATGCCCACCGCCAGAATCTTCAACGCAGGGTAGTCGTTCATGAGAATCGTGGCATACCCGAGGTATGGCACCGATGCCCGTGCAATGCCGACCACGTCACTTCGCTCCAACCACAACTGTCCGGGGGCGTACAAGCCTCGGTCGTGCACGTTATTGTTGTCGCCCTTGGTAAGGTACAAATCCGACCCGTCGGAAGCGCGGGTGTGCAGATCCAACACGCGATGGACGATGGGAATCTCACGGTCCTTGATTTTGAAAACAACAATGTCTCCAATTTCGAGCTTGGGCTTGTTGTTGTCCAAGAACAGAATGTCGCCGCGCTGGAACGCAGGTTCCATGCTGCCACTGAGCACGACAACGATGGGGCTTTCACTGACCGTCAGGCCCATCAGACCTTTCCAAATCATAAGAGCGCTGATAATCACCATGCCCAAGTTGAGAAATTGGTGCGTCAGTTGGCGCTTGTTCTTGTAAAGCCGCCGAACTTCTTCCACCTGCTGCGCCACCATCTTCTGCATCGTTCCTGTTGACGGTCCCAATGCGGGCAAACTCCAAAAATGGTGCAACGTGGCAGAATTTCGCACGGTTCCGTGACCCAATATTCTCAGTCAAGTGACCTGTCGCTTGATATTGTGCAAGTGCACAGGTATTTAAACTAGTAATACTACGTCTCAAGTACTAGTTGTTTTCATTAACAGATGTTGTCGTCTGCCCTTCGCCGACAAATTTCCAGATATCGTGCCATACAAGCGTTCCGATATTTCAGTGTCATCAAGGTTTGTACCGAATTTGATGGGACCTACACCCAGTTCATTGGATGTCAATGCAATTATCGTTTTAACATTGTCTGTCCTGTGGCAGTGCATAGAACTGCTATTTTGTGCATTGGCAGTAATAGTTCCAAGACTGGTGGTGGCACTCCAGAGCATGGTCAAATTAGTATTTACTAGAACGACTACTATTAGTACAAGTACTAATAGTAGTCGTTCTACTGTAGTTTGTGCCTGAAGTGTACTAACTAGTCACGGACTGTATTTTACGTTTTTGCCTAGTAGTTCAAATGAGCTCGTGATGACTCGGTGTTGGAAAGACATTGACGAGCAGCATCCCCTTCATCATGCAGTCCTACTTCGTAGCTCCCTGCAGGTTGAACATCTTGCCCTGACCCACGCGCGATCTCACAGGTTTGGCTAAATTTTGAATGTTTGGAATTTTCAATCGCCGCATCGTAAACGTAGAATAGTACTGGGAACAAGTGCACATGCCGCTTTCAAGGGATATCCGTGTTGGTATCTTGAGACACTGAGCGAAAAAGGCATGCTCAGCGCTACTTCTTTCTCCTGGACACATTCATGCAAAGGCGCTGGATGGCAAAGTACAAATGGGACTGCGTGAAGCAGCGACGCGGGCAACATGGGATATCTTAGATATGGAATAGAGGCCTTAACCACGCCAAAGATGCCCTGTCGGTCGAGCCATTCGTCACCTGGGTGGTGCATCCCTCGATCATGTGCTTGGATGCCGCCTATGGTCAGAGTACATGACGCTCTCACCTACTTCTTTTGTTCAGATTCGACGGATGCCGGGGAATTTCCGCTCCTTGACCTTGAATGCTACCGTTGGGAAGCACTACGGCCACGTGAGCACAGTGGTGGAGCCGCGGTCGGATGTCGTGGAAACTTTCGGTGCGAATGCGGCGACATCGCAGCAAAATTCAACAAAATTTGATATCCAATCAAAACCCGACATTTAAGTATTAATTAGAAGAATGTATGTCAACTGTGACGTGGCAAACTGAGGGAGGAGCGTCGATTTCGTTGGAGAATGGCGCCACCACCGACGCGAAGACGAGAATGCAAATACGGCATCGTCGTGCTGAGCCAAACGCGCTTCGCTTGTCATGTACGATGTTGACGGATGGCTTTGGGCTGAATGATTTTCCAGGAGGAAACGTTCAACTTCGGAGCAGTCTCTGGACGCAACGCATGCATCGTCTGCGAGGTAGTGCACTGAAGAACCCAGTGAGTCGCCTGGTCCATGGAATTTGAATTCCGTTTAAACCTTCTCCGAGGAAAATTTGTCCGAAAACTCGGGATGTCTTCGCCCAGGCATGTCGACAAGCAGGACAAGATGCATGAATCCAAGCAAAACGTTGATAGATGTATGCAACTCTCTCTCACACTTGAAAACGTTGGGCTCGTGGAGGGCCAAGCAATTGGCGGTCCAGTCGTTGGACCAGTGGAGACTCGAGATGGCGAAAGCCCTAGAGAGGCACGATGATCTCTCTCAAATGTCAAACAGGAGCATCGGCGCTTGTGCTTCTTTGACGAGGTGGACATGGAGAAGTTGCCCACTACTTCGATATCCATACAAATGTTTTCGTTAACGACATGGATGGAGTAGCGATGTCGAATTGCATTCCATTCTGTGAACGAATGATGGGGAATCGACGATCATTCCCAACGTCACGTCGACGATTCAGGGGGCTGGACGTGCGACTCGGGGGGCTTCCCCTTTCGAAGTGCGTACGGCGGCAGGGTGGAAGGATGGCCATGTAGCATTGCTTGCGTATCGGGGGACAACAGAACGTTTCATCGTGGGAAAAGTTTGGCATGCGTCGTTTGAAAAATTTCAATTCTTTTGGAAACATGCTGGCCGAAACAGAAGGACGTTGAGGACGCACGACGTTGACCAAGGGAGCGTGGCATGTTCACGTGGATTCGTCCTATTGCTGGAGACTCCCAGGAAGGATCCGAACAGTTGTCGACGAGTGGATGGATTTCCCTTGCGACGGGGTCTGCCACCCTGCTGTCTCTGCATTTGAAATGGCCTCGTGGTCCCGATTCGGACAATTGACACGTTTCAAAATGACACACGTGCCGCAACGTCGCCACCTTCGCTACAAGAGAGCCCCCGCCTCTGGCCCCTCCCACGTCCATCCAATCTACTGCAAGAGGCCATCGGCCAAAGTCTTGACTGCAAAGGTCGTAGTCGCCCCCGCAGTTGTCGCGAGTGAGGTTTCGACCGGTACCGTATTCACCCTTGCCATGGCACGCCTCGCATGGCTGGCAGTCATGCGCATCATCGTCCCCTATGCACCAATCTTGCAAGTGAGTCTCTTCATTGCTTTGTCGGGCTTGATCGGCGTCGGCGACACGGCAGCCATGACCAAGTTTGCCATGGACGTCGCGCCGAATTTCACTCCGATCCAGAATGGTCGATGGAGCGACGGCGTGCGGCAATTCTGCTCCCTTTTTTGCATCGTTTGTGCCCTCAAGGTGGCCGGTATACACCTCGGCTTGTTCGCGCAACCAGAGTTTTGAACTTCACGAACCGAGCACTGTGTGCATCGATCTATTTAACAAAAGTTGAAAACATGTTCCCTAGTTCTTTGACTCACGACGATCGGTGAATTAGTTTCAGCCATTGTCCAGCATGCATCTTTCGCATGCGGCTCTTTTTTAACACCCTCTCGGCAGCAGGACACTTCCAAACGAGAGGAGGGCGTGTCATCGGCCAGAATGGTAAAAGGCCATGGTGGAGAGTCGTTTGAATGCTGCGGTTTGCAAGCATTGGGGAAGAGCGAGATCGCCACGTCCTCACCCTGTCGAGTCCAAGGGCTCGTCGCTCAACATGATGGTTCCTCTGGTGGCAACCCTCCCCCCCCGATACGCACCACGGTGTCCCCTACGATAGCTGCTTTATTTCATCAACTTCACCACCCGGAGCGCAATGCTTGGAGCACTTTGACATTGCCCCTTCCCCCACTTCCTCGAAAACGTACCCCCCTCATGAATTTCTGGGACCCCACGTTTTCTCTTGCGCCCACCGCTCTCGGAAAATCTGCGAGATCTACCGCTTGTTGCCATCATGGAACACTTCGACCTGGCTGGTGACCACGATGTTGACGACGAAAGCAATCGTAATGAAGACTGTCGACAACGTCTGGTCTTAAGCTTTGGCGGTGAGTTGAATTGTCGTGCGATTTGTTGAGTAACGTTATTGGAGGGATGAAGCGAGAACGTTCGTGACAAGAAAAAGGCCCAAAGCACACTTACCTGGTATACGTAGCTCGCGGGGGTGACCCCCCTTACGCGTTCAACAGACTGGGCGCTCTGACGGAGTGAAACTTTTTCTCGCGTGCAGGGGGCATGTGCCCTGGGGTGGTCGGTGCTCAAATCCACTAGAACAACCACCAGAAATAAACCACATCTTCAAAAATCTTGATTTTCATATTTACAACGCTATAACTTGATAAATCAAGCACATTGCCCCATCATGTTGAAATTTGTATGTCTACATGGAATTACGTCGATGCACTCTTCTTTTCAATAACCGAATGAAAAGATGCGGCAATGGCTGTCTACCAGGATATACGCTATACGGTATGCCATCCTCTACACATCAGCTCGGGCTATGTCACTACTTCAGATCCTAACAACACATAGTACAAGACTACCTCCATGGCACTGCATTCAACCGGCATGCCAAACTGAAATGGCCATCCACGGGCGCCGCCCTCTTGCTTGAATGGAAGGAAAAGCACATGCGCCGATGTGCCCCTAAACCACGGCAGTCCGACTCACGCGCTACCCCCTACCAACCATTCGCACCTCTCCACGGCACCCACGGGGAGACTTCCATCGCCTCCCCCTCTATCATCAACCGTCAAGACAGATTGTGTTGCATACGTGTGATGGGGCAAACACTCCCCCCACGCAACACGAGCCGGGCATCGCCTGTCTCGAGAATACTGTGCCGTTCATGTTATGTGTGGGTCGACATGATTCGGAACAAACACGCGGTGAGGGATGCGACCTCGTCGTCGCGGGTCTGCCGTGTTTCGCTGGTTGTGCGAGGTCGCAAGGTGGTGATGGAAGGTTCGCGAGCGGCGGCGTGCATGCGCCTCCAAGTCCTCAACGTAGTTCCGAGTGTGTATCAGGCGCTCCGGTTTCGTCGACTCGCCCGGTGGCTGCATGCCCAGCGCCGGTTGTGAGAAATCTCATGTACCGTCATATGTGTCTACAGTAGATTGTCGAGGAATTCCCAAACTTTGTTGCGCAGTCGCCGCGACGAGAGGGGGCGGTCTGGCACACGAGAAAATGTGCTCATTTTAGCCAATGGGCGACAAATACATACACGACCTAGCACATGATATCATGCATGCGTCATGTTGGAAACTACATGCGTTCCACTATCCATGCGTGCCTTGAAACATGTCGCGTTCTTCTACGTGGCGATTGTGTTTCCATGCGCTGCTGCTCCACTTGAGTCAGTGTCGCCCCGACCATCCATTTCCACCGAGATGCTGGGACCCATTGCCGCCTCGTGGCAAGAAACCAGACATGCCTAAGTTGAATCCCGTGTGTGGCTTTGCCCCGAATGTGTGGCCACCCGGCAGGGGAGATCCAGGGGGACCCAGATCCCCATCCTCCCCCCCGATATCCCTGTGCGATGGCGATCCTGCTTCGTTCTCATGGCGAAGTCCGTGGAGGGGACCGCCCACCGCCTGCTTCGCGAGTTCCATCGTGTCACGACAGGACATTGTCCCACCGTCGTACCCTTGGCTGTACAGTACGTTTGTGGTGTCGCTCGGGTCTGGCTCGGTGGTGGTAATGTGGCTCCGCCGCTGTATCTTGGCGCAAATGGGTTCGTTGGAGGCGTGCGGCGGTGGATGGAGGCCGGGCCGTGGTGAGCGCGGGGGGAGACGGTGGCGCGGCCATCTTCACAGCGCCGTCGTGGGTCTTCCTCAATATCGTGTACGTCGTCGTCGTCATTGGAGCCGCCGTCGAGATAGATTCGACACACACGCGCGCGGACACGTTGGCGGGCGCACGTGATGGCCATGGGATGTCGTCATGTCCGTCGATCCATCAACGTCACGGTCGAAATTTTCAAGCATGTAGTCAAATATCATCTTGATTTCAGTATGGTGCCGACGTGCCGTGTCTCTTGCGCGCGTCGATGGTCCCACCACAAATATTTCGGAAATATGACGAACTCACCATAATATGAAAGTATGCCGCACGAGATATTATCCACATGGTGATATATTCGATATTTTGGAAAATCGCGCGGTAGACGAAAATATAGCGTTCTTTGCTGCCACGGCGCCACCACCGAAACGTGGGACGCCACGACGAGAACCCCATCTGGTGGAGCATCCTGTCGGACGATGCCGATCGCGTCCTTGAGGCCGCGACTCGTTCGCATTCAACACACTCTGCCAACGACCTCGGCAAGACCACGACGGACGCCCACGTTCTCTTGCGACGTCGACGGAACCACCCGCCGCCGCCGTCCTACGATCGACCGTCCCGACGACACAGCATGCAATACCCCGTCACGGTGGTCGCGTCCCGACCGCTATCCAAGCAAGAGCACACCACATACCTGACCATGTCGACGTCGTCGTGCCAGGGACTCATTGAGAACGCGCTGTCGTTGTCGTCGCTGGCCGCGACAACGACCCGACATTGCGCCACGACCTCGCGCGATGCGACCGTACGTTGCGTGCTCTCGACCAAAACATTATCGTGACATGACACGATGTGGTCGCTGTAGATCCATCGCGGCCGCGATTGCGTCGACCCGAGCTTGCCTGCGCTGTGCGCCGTCACCAAGATCGAAGCCACGTTGCCGTCGATCGCGGCGCAGTACACGCTTGGGACGTTGTCGGACAAACTCGCACACAACCTCACTGACGACGTCGCCATGGTGAACCAAAAGCTCGCCAAGCTTGGGTCGCACGTACTGGCGCGGCAGCAGCTCTACTGCCTCGGAGGGACCACGACCGATATGCCCTACCACTACGCCGGCATTGTCTGGTATGCCCATTCGTCGCTTCCGCTGTGTGCAAGTCGCGACTTTTGCGTGCTTGAGGTACGAGCCATGGATTCGACCGCAGTTCTCGCACATTCCGACCGGGAATCGAAGCTGGTGTCAAAGCGCTGGGGACGGCTGCTCACAGTGTCCGTGGGTGGGCTTGTAGTACCACAACCAAGTCGAAGTGATGGACTGGCAGAGCAAGCGCCGACGGGGGTGGATCCGATGCCTTCAATCTGTCGATGTCATCGGGTGTCCATCGCTGCGAGCGTCCCGCGGGCACATTCGGTCGTCTATGTTTCGCGTACGTCCGGTCGAATACTCGTCGGATTCGCTCATTCTCGACTGCAGTCGGGTCAATTATTCGTTGAAACAGACTGCCCAGGCATGCTGACAGTGTACAGCGTCGCTGTGCATCACTACAACGGACTCCTTCCTCCAGGCGGCGCGGCCAAGTTGATGCGCCGCGAAGTGGCGACCATCTTGAAGCTGGAAAAGGCCATGGCGACACAACGTGTGCTCCAGCGACTGCGAACCGTCGAGCCGAAACAGCTCCAGACCGCTACGTTTCGTGCGACGAGGGTCCACTGCCCCCAGTGCCACCGATCCCGGTCATGGTTTCGACACCAGCGGGCCTGTGCGATATGTGGAGAAGTACGCGCACATGCGTCGTCGTATTTTCAAACGGATGACCTTGCGCGTAGGCGGTGTGTGCGAGTTGTGGCCGCGAGTGGTCCGTCCCGGGCGTCACCCCCGCCGCATTTGTGTGCTTGCATTGCTTTTGTCCAAAAGGCATGGCACCCCATCTCGGTGTTGCGCGAATTATTTTCTGCTCACACTTTGCTCGTAGACTCGGAAAGAACGAGCAGCTACGTGAGGAGCACGTACAGCTCGACCAACTCGACGCCGCGGTCCATGGCGCTGAGCTGCTCGGACGCCCAGAAAGAAATGTTGAAACAGCTCGCGTCCCCCACACACAGCGACTCGGACGTACGGTCGGAACTGTCGTCGTGGCTCTTCTCCGGCACTGACAATTCCGAGTTGGCCCATGTCATGCACGACCTCCAGCGGACACTCGAGCAATTTGAGACTGCAAATACACTGCCGAAAGCCCTCGAGCGCTTGGCGTGGGCCCATGGACTGTAGCCGAGGAACTGTCGTCGCTTCGTGAACGACGGCGGCGTATCGGGGGTGCTGTTTCAAACGCTCTTGCGACGCCACTCGGTCAACTCAACCGCGTGTGCTGCATCCAGGCCAGAAATACAGGTGTGCCCTCTCGAGGACGCGTGAAATGCCCCTGCAATAATGTTGTGAGCGTCAAATCGGTCCGGCTTTTTGTCCATTTCAATGCCGCGTTGCGATGCCACCCTTAACCATTTACGAGTGAAACATCGAGCTGCAGAGGCCACGGCGAACAAAATTCCCACAGACACTAGCGAGCTGTCCAAACCAAGGACATAGGTCGCACACCGTGCTGGGATTCTAGCAGGAGCCGCGTCGGTCTCTCGCTAATGCCGGGGCCACGTTGAAATAGTTGTTCAAGAAGTAGTTGGGTGCTAGTAGTGGTGCGAGCCCTTGTCTTGCTGACCACGGGTGCCGGTCAAAGTTGTAGCCCAGCATTCCAGGTACACTCTCGCTCCTGCTGTCACGAGGTTGAACAGACAATGCGCGAAGGATGCATGAAGCATGTGCCATACATCCCCATCGGACCAACCAGCAGACGCTCTCGATGCATTTCCCACGACAATGGCCACTTGTGGCATGGGATGCAAAGACCCGGGCATGGCTGGCGTCCACCGACTTCGTTGTGCCCTGGCCAAAAAGCATCCATCACAAGAGTCGACAGCTGCAAAGAGGAAAACACCATCAGAGTTGTCTAGGAGCACGGTGTGGTGTGCACCGATGGACGACGTGTACGTTACAACCGCGTCCACCACGTAAGAGAGGACGCGGCTGGATCGCAGCGAGCATCGGCAGCAGGGTGCATGAATGTGTGGCTGAAAAACTGACGTACACGTGCATGCGATGTTGCTCGAACGAGTCATGGACAACCCCCTTTGGCATGGCGCTGCGTCCAATCGAGGGTTCGAGGTCATGAAGCACTCAAGTCGTAGGATTGAGTTCCGGCTGCAGGGTGGGCTTCCACTCCCCACTTCGGTTCACCGCACGCCGTCGCCTGGGCCAGCCGCTGCCCCCGCCAAGTCGCCCGCCGCACCTGCTGCTATCGCTGCCAGTGTGTCCCCGCATCTTCGCATACGGCTTTAGCTTGTATACCTTGTCATGGCGGGACCTGAACTTTCGTCGACGCACGTGATTTACTCTTGCCCACATGGATCATGATATCCACCAGTACGACGGGGAAAGAACGTTGTGTAGCCATCGGCATGTCCAAGTCATGTGCAAATGCCATGCGCTTCCTGCTGCTGACCAGCGCCAAGTCGTTTACAAAAAGGGTGGCATGGCGCATTCAAATTGAAAACATCTCCAACGTCGTCGACACATTCCGACTCGTTCGAATGAAACACTGTCTTGCGACAGGATCATGAGCAGGCACCGTTCGAGGTTGCCACGTCGAATAATGCACGGCGGAGCGTCGTCGGGACGCCGGTGCGAATTGGGGTTCAATGGTTTGTGGGGTGCATATGCCTGCACAGAAGCAAGCTCTCGGCGATGGCACTTGCTTTCGTCAAATGTGTGCTGAGAGGCGGTGGCACCCTCTCTCGTGCGGTGTGCACAGGACTTTACGCCATGGCTAAACACGACCTTGTCATGCATGCGACGTTTGTCCAGCGGTGGGCGTATGCTTGGAGCTGCATCCGGCGAGGCACGAGCTGCACTTCGTGACGCGATGTCAAAGAAAGAGAAATCCCAACGACGTGAACGGGTCGACGACTGCTTGGAGCCATGCACTCCATGTGACAGGCCTCGTGTAGGCAGCGCGTACTTGTTGCAAGGAGGCACGTCACGAGAAATCGTCGCCGACAACACACAAACACGTTGAGCTGCGCCGCAAGGCGTTTGTGGTGGTGCTGCGAAATAGTCTTCTCGTTCGCACGATGCCACGCATCATCATGAGTTTTGCAAGCAGCAGACGTCCAAGCACCGAGGCACAACAAACAACTCACGACCCTGCCTTCATGTTTCATGACGGTGCGCGTCGGGGGATGGGCATCTCGACGCAGTTTGATCCAACTCATCCACGGATCAAGCGATCGGCTTCTCCGTCGTCAGAAGAGCGACATGCCAGTGCGCTCGACCGTGTTTGGGCACGAGAGGTCGGCATCTATTTTGGACCGATGACACCCCCCATGCCAGTGGAAACGGCCACCTGTGGTGCTGACGATGGGCTCTGCCTGCGGCATCCACGTGAACCTGGTCCAGGCAGCCAAGGCGGGGCACGTTGACAAGGTGCAGTTGTGCCTGGACAATCAAGCCAACGTCAACTGGTGCGACAAGGTTTGTCGACAGCGACGCCATGGGGGGGGTGTTGACTCGGGAGTAGGCCAAGCGGACGGCCCTCCACTGGGCCTCCATCAAAACCCGACCGGACGTTGTCAAGCTCCTGCTCGACAAAGGGGCGACTGTCGACGCCCCTGAAATCGTACGAGCTCCTGCTGCCGTGTTTGGACATTACACAGCAGGACATATATTAGAGAGGATGGACGCCGCTCCACTTTGCGGCGCAGAGTGGCCACATGGGCATTGCCAAGATGCTGCTCGACAAAGGCGCGAACGCCGACGCCGCTGAAAAAGTAGCGACGTGCAGCAGCGACATGGTTCGATTCATATTTCTCGACTGTAGAGACGGTGGACGCCACTCCACATTGCGTCGCAGCATGGGCACGTGCCTGTCATCGAGATGCTGCTCGAGAAAGTTCTCCACGTCGACGCGCACGAAGGAGTACGTTTGTGCCGACTCGATCGTGTGACGTCGAGTGGGATACTAGGACGGGTGGACGCCCCTCCACATTGCGTCGCAGTTTGGCCACGTTGAAGTCGTTGCGATGCTGCTCGAGAAAGGCGCGAGCGTCGACGCGACTGAAAAAGTACGGACCGACGAGATGCAATCGGGACAAAGCTCATCGCGTCGGCGGAATACAGAAAGCGTGGACGCCCCTGCACTTTGCGTCTCAGTACGGCCAAGCGGACACGGTCAAGCTGCTGGTCGAGAGAGGCTCGTACATTGATGCGGTGGAAGAAGTAAGGTGTGCAGTGGCGGCGCCGCAGTCACCCGCGCGCGCATGTCGATATAGGACGGATGGACGCCTCTCCACATTGCGTCGCAAAACGACCACGTCGATGCCGCCAGGATGCTGATCGAGACAGGTGCCAACGTGAACGCCACTTCGAATGTCGGTTGTTAGGATTCAGCGCCGCCAGCTCACGACGACGACACAGGATGGGATGACACCACTCCACCTTGCCGCAAGGAACGGCCGCATCCGAATTGTCGAGACGTTGGCGGCAGGAGGAGCAGACTTGTTTGCGAAATCCAAGGTATGGGGGCGGTACGCGATGCATGAAAAGCGTCTGATAGCGGGGGTTCACTCCGCGAGACCTGGCCATGTTACGAAATCAACCGGCCGTGGCGAATGCCCTCGGCAAGTGCGCACAGGTCGCGCGTTCCGTCCGCCTGGCTCCACTCACGAACGTGGCAGGAACGACCGGTGACGTATTTTCGCGCCGGCCACCTCGCCATGGCCGAGAAACACGCGGTGCTGGCCATCGCGGCAATGAACGTCAACAAGTCGGCGTTTGCATGGATGGGAGGCTGCTTGCTTCAGCAGCGCAAGCACGACGAAGCCAAGGCTGCGTTCATGTTAGGTCTGGAAAAAGATCCAAGCGATGCGGACTGCGCGTTCGGGCTGGCCAATCTACCACCGACTGCCGCCGAGCCCGATGGCTCTTCACCGGAAGCAGTGCGCCTCTTGGACAGCAACGAGTGCGTGATCTGCATGGAAAAGCCTCGCACCGCTGTGTGTGTCCCGTGTGGCCACTTGGCGGGATGCTACAATTGCCTCCTTGTCGTGCAAAGGAAGGGCGGATGTCCGATCTGCCGAAGTGCTATTGCTGCTGTCGTTCGCGTGTACGGGTGCTAATGACCATCCCAATATAAAAACCTCGCGCATGCTTCGTTCGAGCTGGACGTGTCGCACGAAGGGCGTTCGCCGCCGCCACTGGCCAGGATGGATCGCTTCGACGTGTGCGCGAGGTGGCCAGCCGTATGGAGAGGAAGGGCCTACCAGTTTTGGCAAGCAGAAAAACCAGCGCATATTCCGCGCAGAGCATGCGGGTGCCCTGGCAAGTGGACATTCAGTTGGTGAACAGAATACACCGATGCAGGTGTGTCCCGGAGCTCGATTCAATTGTTGTCGACACAAGCCAGCAAGAACAGCATGGCGCTGTACGTCATAGCGATGGGCATGACGTCCCGGGCGTCGAAAAGTGCCGATGCAGCTAGTATAATAAACGAAACGCGATGGATGCTTCCGACAAAGTCGTCGTTTAGAGTATACAGCGACAACCTTCCCCCACCACGTCTGCCGCAGTCCCGTTCGAAAACTTGTCTAAGCGAGAAACGCTGCCACTCCTCACGTTGGCCATGCTGACCTGGACTTGTTGTCGCTATCACGCGGCCATGCATAAACCACGTCGCATGCAATCGGTGGGATGATGCGTGAGCAAGGGTGCCCCTGGCCCGCCGAAACACAGATTGTGGTGGTGCTCGATCAGCCATCGTCAAACCAACAAAAAGCCAAACGTCGGTCGCAAAGCTCGCTCAAACCTGTCATCCTTTTGGCTGTACCGATCGTTTCCTGCTTTGCGGCATGACGTCGCCGATGATCACCATTCCACCGGTTTCATGCAAATTCCAAGTCGGAAAAATAGGACGCCCAGTCGTTGCCGCATCGACGTCGCGACGAAAATTCCTGCAGCTTGCGCAAGATCCACAACGAACATACTGCTCTGGCTGCATGCACCTTCCTCGGACTGCATCCAGCAGCAGCGATATCCGATTGCATAAACCATGCCTTGCTCGGTGTCCTCAACAACCGCACAGTTCTCTTGGACGGCCACGTTGAACTCCAGTCACCTGTCGTCATGCCTGCCCTCTCCGACAAAGCGACACCAGCAAACGCCTTGCACCTTCTTCAACCCTTCCAACAGGGCTCGTCATGCGCTCGATGCATCTCCACTCAGTTGTCGCCCACCGTGTCGTGCAGGTACGACATGAGAAACACAATTTCCCGACAAGCCCCCAGCAACCGCGCGAGCTTGGCCGTTTGAAGGCAAACTTCTAACGCTTTGGAAACATGAGCAATGTGTGCGCATCTGATGGCTCGGACGGCACGTCGAACTCGTACACGACGTAGTGATCGGATGCGCAGAAGTGGTGGTGCCAGAGCACTCGCAGGAAGACGAACCCGGTTGCCAGACTGGACTCGAAGCGCATGGAGTGCCATGCCATACAGAATGCGCAACGCCAGGACATCACGACATGTTTCAACAAATTAAACTGGACCATGCCACCACATGCATGTGCAATACCACGGCGGCTCACGCAAACGGTTCCATGGTGGCGCTGACTTCGGTCATGGACGTCCTGTGAATCCAAGGCGGATACAACAGTTCGCAGCAGTAGCGCCGCGTGGCCCAGCACATGACGCGGACGACACACATGCGAAATCCGACAACGACACCGCAGTTGAGCGCCATCGCCACCACAAACGTTCCAAGCGCATCTTGCACGCGGCCTTGTTCTCGCGTGAAAAATGCAAAATGCACGCCGTCGTGCCAATGCGCCAATGCCAGCGCCACCGCGGCGACGCATGCGACAACGTAAGCCGCCCATGCAATGGCGAATCCGGACAGCGCTGGCCGCACCACCAAGAAGTACATGGCTGCTCTTCGAACGTCGCGCCACGACTCCCACTCGGTCTTGATCTTGCAGCAGTATGGAGCGATGGCATGCCGGTGTCGGAGGATTGGCGATCGCTCGTACGCTAGCAGGGCATCGCCATCACTCGTTTGCAAGTGGATGCACAGCGGCTTGGGGCACACTATGTTGTGCATCCACGTCGCACAAAAGACAAGGAGCTCGACGACAGCGAGGGTTACATTGTGGTGCAACCACCGAGGGTGCCAGCCATGGACGTGGTAGCGCCACAGCGCATCGACAATCGTGCATGGAAGCAAGGCGACATAGAGTCCGAGCAGCATCACACACGCCATGAAAGCAACTAGGGACATTCCCACGTAGCCTGCACAGAACAGCAGACGCGTGTACGTGATGCGCTGCGCTGGCCACAGAACGAGGTTGGAGATAGATAGCTCCGCCAGAGGCGCATCCACGGCGTCATCTAGCACCATGTCCATCGACCAGTATCGGTGGAGTCGCTGCGCTGTCGGCATCTATCCGCGCAATCGAATGTGCCATGAAGCGGCCAAGCTCGCCGCGTCCAAAAAAGTATCCGCGGCATCGTCGGCAAGTCCTGGCGAAGCGAGTTAAATGCTTAAAACCTACTTAACGCGTTAAGTTTATCCCGCGATCTTTGGCAGTTGTGGCAGTTTAACCAGTGTTTAAAGGTAAACCGTAGACTGGCAAAAGTAAAAATCTTTTGCGTTTTCGCTACACTGGTTCCAACAATTCCGAATACATGATGAGCCATGGGTGCGCGCTGCGACGTGAAATCTGCACGAGAAGCCAAGCCAAACACTTAACAGCGTGCTCTCCACATGTGTCATGACCGTTGATCTTATGCCAATCGAATTCAATCCACGTTGTGCTTGGTAAAGTCTCTCGACAACAATGTTCCAACCACGCTCCACAAATCTAAAAAAATCTCTGAAAAACGATGGAATCCCGAACGAAATAATGAGATTTGTCCGATATTTCTTGACGATGCGATCGAATTTTCCAAGTACTTCGTCTGTTCCACATTTCTTTTACGTTCGACTTTTGAACGACCCCAAAAATTGATTTGACGACATATTTTCAAACAAATTATCATTTTATAAAGAGCATAAAAAACTACAGAAGGCATCCAGTGGATGCAAAGCGCCACAGCTCGAGTTTCGCGCTCAAAACTCAACAGCAAATTCCAACCACCGAAAAAAAATACCACACATAGTCCAACACAGTCATATTCAAATTCGACATGAATGTCCTCGACCTCGGTTTCTTCGCCGCGATC